ACAAGTAAGTAGGCATCAATATCTATAAGTAGGTATCAATATCTATAAGTAGGCATCAATATCGCGTAAGTAGATAGGTTAAGTAGACATATAGTGATGTCTACTTAATCTATCTACTTCTTTATCTTTAATATGTCATTTTTTAGATTTTTTAAAATACTATAAGTAAGATTCTTAATATTAAAAAAATATAAAATATTGTTGCAGTCAGTTCTTTAAGATGCTTATAAGTAATAAATGAAGTAATATTTATGGGTGATAAGCAGAAGGTATATTTTATAATTAGATTTAAAAGAATGTTAATCAATTAATAGTTTATTTAATAATGATAACAATTGAATACTGCTTCAGTTAATGCTCTGTACTATACAATTATATTAAGGGAATTAAACTAAACTATTTAATAAAATTATCTATCTGACATACAAGACACCCTACTAAGCTAAAAGAAAATGTCTTCTATTTATATAAAATAAAATATATAAAGTTATCGAAGATATAAATAAAATATATAAAATTAATAAAATAGAATAAATAAAAGAAATATAATATATAAAAGAAATATATGTTATAGATAACATAGAAGACATATAAGATATATATGATTTTTTAGGGATTGATATCATCCTTTTGATCGTCATCATCTATGTCTTCTTCTATATAACAATATAAATCTAATTTTGAAAAGTTATTTTTAATAAAAATTTTCAGAATTTGATTTTTTTTAATAATTTTTTTATATAATAATATTTTAATATTATATAATTAATCTTATATATAATATTATGAATAATATATAAATTTACTATTTTAATTTCTTTTAATATTCTGATTAAAAATTATAAAACTATTAGTAATCATTATTTAAAAATCCTTTAATTACTAATAATCTTTTAATAATATATAAAAATATTTTAAATATAATATTAAAAATTTGTGTAATAAATTTAATATGAAAGATATATATTTAAAAATTATTTAACAAATATATATAAATTATATCAAATTTAATTACGTTTACATCTTTTTTTCTTATAACTAAAAATTTAAATATGCAAATATTATAATATATTTTTTGTGATAATTTACAATTATAAAAATAATATATTTAGTAAATCTTATAAGTAAAAAAAATTATTTAAATTTTGATAAGATTTAAAATATATAATATAAAGTTTATAAAATAAAATATTATTGAAAATTTTATCAACTAACCAATTATAATATTGAAAATTAAAATAGTTTAAAATGAAAAAATTATTTATTAATACTTTTTATAAAATATATTAATAATATTATAATGAATTAGAATACTTAATAATTAAGTTATAATATGTAAAAATTTACTTTAATTTATGATTATAAAAATTATTATCAACTTTTAATCATTCAAATTCTACAACATACAATTTATTTGAAAATATATCAAAAATTAATAAAAGGTATTAAAAATATTCTTTTATTTTACAAGTATAATAAATATTATAAAATAAATATTATTATATATATATTTAAACTAAGAAAATAAAAAATAAAAAAGTGGCTAAATAAATAGTTTTATTTAATAAAATACTTAATTAATATTATTATGACTATCATTATCTTCTAAAATTGACTATTTAAGAAAGGTATACTATTAAAAATACAAAAAAAATTATACTTGTCTAATTATTTGAATTTAAATAGTTTAATAAATTTTAAAAAATAAAATATAAATAATATTAGACCAATATTTATATATAATTTTTATTAATTATACATAAAAAATATGATTTAAACAATAGAGAATTCATTTTCAAAAAATTAATTATATATATTTTTTATGTCAAGTATTTAGCTTAGAATTATTTAAATATATTTCTACATTATACGTTACACAAATTTGATCAATAGGACGGATATGTAAGTTATTTGTAACTTTATCACGTGATTTATATAATCATACCTCACGCTTTAGGATTTGGATAAACCACCGGCATGTTTACTACATTTAGATCGCGACAGTTTAAGAAACGCGTTTAATTGTTTGATCAATTTCTAAAATTTATAACTGTTTCACATTTTCTAATAAAATCTAACGATGGAAAAGAATTTGCTCATATTCGATAACCTTCTTAAATCTCCACATTCTGAAGAAGTAAAAAAAAAATTTATTATAATTTATTTGGAATCAATAAGTAAATTACATTACTCAAAACCAGATTGGGAACAGCTTTGCGAGTATGCATACGGAATCATCAAGGTAATCCCTTAATTCATTTTCTGATTTATTCGAAATGTTATAGATTTCTAAATTTCTATTCTCTTAAGCATACTTCTCGCGTTCACGCTTTTGGTGAGCTTATTCTATCTCGATTCGCACGTCTTCAGAAAGCAATATATATGCTTTATTTCAATTCGAGCTGGATAACGCAAACCCTTAGCAACAACAATATTCCAAATAATGTATTTATATTATAATTCAGGATATACTTTTTTTATTAAAAAAAAGTCAGAAAAATAAATATTTTATTATATTTGTAGTTATACCAACAACTAAGAGCATTAGTTAAAATAATTAAATACAAACAAGGTATATTTTAGCATAAATAAAAGGTTTCACATCATGATATTGTTCTCATAAAGGTTACTCCTTCTAGAAATTTCAAGTGATTCCGACGACCATGCTAATGTTGAAATTGACTGTCGGATATTACAGTCTTATTCTATTAAATATTTTGAGGTTGTCAAAAGTAGGGTTGACTGGATGCAATTGTTTGTATCTATGTTCACTGAGCTTCCACAATCAATTCCCGAAGATCATGTTAGATTAATTGAGGTAAATAAAATTAAATTTTTTCCTCTTTTGTATCAATTATTTTCTAAAAGATTCTTATTTATATAAACATAGGTGCTTTTATATTCTTTGGCCATTCCGGAAAGCGATTCTTTAGAATCGTATGATGAATTTGTGAAGCAGACGGTAAAATTAATTGAATCTTTATGGAAGAAGAGGTTATTTTACAATTATTTCTATATTTATATGCTAAATTTCTCAATAAAAAATGATGCTAATAATATTATCACGATGTTCAGCCCGGAAATCATAGGCGTAACTATCCGTGAAATTTTTATACGGCTTTCAAGTAATCAAACCTGTTCCAAATCTATAGTACTTTTGATTAGTAGGATACCTAAATCATGTACATCAGGTAAAAATTTTCCTTTTTCTTGTCGCTTATAAAATCTGACCGGACGAACGTCTAGATTGAAATCCCGTTAGTTATCCAATACTATGTTCAGAAGATTCCCGCAGAAGATGCTAAGAAATTTGAACTATGTGTTGAAAGAATGATTTCGATGATACCTCATCCATTTGCTAACAACATTAGTAGGTTAAATTTTTATGGATGACTCTTTCATACTGTAATGAAGCTTATCAATTTAATTTTAATTTTAAATTTAGGCTGTTGGATCATAGAATTGGTCAAAGCTTTGGAAAAATTAAAGGATAAGTCTATATTGATACGGATCACTCTTGCAAATGCGTCTCGATGTAAGTACTTGTTTAATTTCATTAAAAGAATTATTTTGCAATAAAGCTAATACGAGTTTTAAAATTAGGCTTCGAATATTTGATAGACCGCCATGCGCGTAGCGATGCTTTAATGGTCGTTAAATGTTTGCTACTTGGATATCAAGTTGCACCTGATGTCTTCGATTCAATTATTCCAACTATTCCCAAAGTTTTAGATACGATCGATAAAGAGGTTATTATACTATTTTAAATTTAAATTATGATTTTGTAGATAAATTTTAATTAACAAGATGTTTATTTTTAGAGAGATCAAGTTGATACTTTACTTGAACTTTCGAGAATAATTCAATGTCTCATGTTGCGATTTTCAGGGGGAAGCGATAAATATTTGCAACTTTATAATACTTTGGAATCGCATGACTTGGTATATTAACAATACTCCTAATTTGTTGCTTAAGGAAGCCTCGTTCACCTCTTGTTTTTCTTTTCTTTTTCTTTTTTTACTAACACGCAAATTATATTCACAGCCGGTATTGAAACGTGAGGATATTTCGAATATACTTCAAAAGCATGCATGGTTTAAAGTACCAAACATTGCGGGTAAATTTTTTTTGTTATTTTGTTTTTTTTAATCTATTAAATTTTTTTAATTTATTAAGTTGTGCAGCTTAAAATACAGATAGCCGTAAGGAATTTGTGGTGAAACCTTCTGTGAAACCCCCTGTGAAACCTCCTGTGAAAACTCCTGTTTATTCCCCGAAAATCTTTAAAAAGAAAGGATTACAAAACTTAGGAAATACTTGTTTTATGAATAGTGTACTTCAGGTCAGAGATATACAAAAATAGAGTTAAAATTTTAAAATTGATGTCGAGCTAAATTTATATTATTATTATTATTATTTTTGAAGGCATTATTTAACTCAGCGGAATTTAGACGTCGTATATTACAGGCATCGACGTAGGAATTTTACGTTTTTATTTTATAATTATATTCAATTGATTATATTTTCAAACACGTTATGTCTTATAGAACGAAATCAAAAACTTCAACGATCTATCAGCTTCAATTGTGTTTTGCTTGTATGATATTTTCTAAAAAATCGTATTTTTCACCATCAGCATTATTGGAGGTTATATATAAATATATATTTTTTTAATTTTTTATTTATGTAATTCGTTAATTTATTCAATATTTTAAAGATCCATTTGCATCATTAGACGCTTCCAAGTTGGTTAAATAATGGTCGACAACAGGATTGTCATGAATTTTTGAAGCAAGTACTTTCATATTTCAACAAGTTATAAATACTAATTTCATTTATTAATTGACTGATATGAAATTTTTCTTTTAGAATTTTATTTTGTCAGATTGAAGAAGAATCGAAAAAAACTTCAAATAAACAACTTAGGCTAGAATCGGAAGAGGAAGGAATTTCAACCGTACTTGAGGATATGACAGATGTTCCAATAAGTCCCTTTGGTGGAAAAATGGAAAATATTATTATGTGTATGGAATGTGGGAAAAAATCTAAAACAAAGGTATGTATATACAGTAAAGAATGTTTACACTTAATTATATTGATATCTCATTTTAATTTTATAACTCCTTATCAAGGAAGGATTTCATGATCTTTCACTTTCATTGAAAGTCGATACATGTAAGATATTCAACTATATGTAAATCAACATATTTGTTTAAAATAATTGGATTTTTAAGATTTTATTTTTCTTCAGCAGACAATCTTTCATTTTCTGATTTATTATCGGGATTTCTTTCTGATGAAGATCTGAAAGGAGAGAATCAATATTTTTGTGAAAGATGTGGAGGACTACGTGATGCGAAAAAGGTATACAGAATTTTATTTGCTTAATGCTATATGTTATTAAATCATTACCAATTTACCATAAAAAAAATAGTTGACGCGAATAATTACGCCACCGCGTTATTTAATATTATCGCTTAATCGATTCGAGTATGATGTGAAATATGCTAGAAGGATAAAAATCATGACACATGTAAGTATTATAAAAATGAAAGTGGAAATGGAAGGCGAATTAATTCAAGTAAAACTTTAAATATTTATTATAATAGGTTTCAATACAAGAATCATTATCAGTACCGCAAGTTCATGAAAATGATGAATCACCCACTGAATCAAATCATAATCAAAATGGAATAGTTAACGGAATGATTAACGGAATGATGAATGGAGAGAAACGAATAAAGACAAAAGGAGAGGATGATAAAATATATGATCTATCAGCAATTGTAATACACTCTGGTTCATCTGCTGAATATGGTCATTATTATACGTACGCAAAGGATGAAGGTGATAAATTGATTATGTTTGCATATTGATTTCATTCTTATAAATTGTAATTAATTTTTTATTATAAATTTATGCAAGATGGTCAATGGTATAATTATAACGATAGTTATGTTTCTACCTCTTCATTATCAAGAATTATTTCCGAAGGAGAAGATTTCAAATCGGACACTCCTTATCTCTTATTTTTCCAACAGAAAAATATAATTACTTACCAATTACGTATGGATTATCTCTCTTTTTTAAAGAATTTTTTTATATTTATTTTTTCTAATCGATTTCAATTTTTAATTTAGCTGAACTTTCGCAATCTCTTATGAAAGAAGTTGAGAATGAAGATAAAAGTAGTTATAACAGAGATTCTTTTGGGAGTAATGATTTTTCAATGGATAATAAAAAGGATGATAAAGACGAAAAAGAAGAAATTAATCCACTTAGTGGAGGATATGATTTATTTGATTATGATAAATCGGTAATATAATAGATTATATAGAATTCATATTGATTAAATTGCAATATAATAATTTTCCCTGGCCATCATTAATTTTAAATATATTCTGAAAAGTTAAATTCTATTATATGCTAAGGGATTCTATACTAATATTAATTTAATGATCGGAATCCATTTTTAACGTTTATTTTTATTGAAAATTGTGCCTACGATCAATGCACCAACAGCTACAGCTCCGCCTACAATAACCATACCCAACAATCCTTCTAGAAAAAGAAAGTTATAAATTAAAATTATTTTTTTTTAAAAAAAAATAAATTAAATTAAGAATATAGTGATTATACCTTTTTCATGTTTCTTTTCTATGAGTTCTTGTAAATTTTGAGCCTGTAAATTTCCAGGTTCCATCTTTAACAACTTATTATTAAATTCTCTGGCTTCTAAGTATCTACCTAATTTGAAACTACCTAATGCTAAATAATAAAGGCATTCGCGACGACGTTCAGGATCTTCTTTAAATATTTCTATATAAAATAAATAAATCGTTAAAATTATTATGAACAATTTTAAGAAATTATTTAGTTTGTTACCTTTTAGAAGAGCCACACCAAAATCTTGGTCGTGAGCTTTTCGACTTTTAATTGAACCCCAGGCAAAATTAAATTTGGTTTGTGTGGTAACGTCTCCTTGTTCGGCTTCGCGATAATATTGTCTTCGTAACACCTATTAAAAGAATTCACGTAAGAATAACACTTTCCAAAAAATTCAGATCAAATAAGATATTGGTTTATCGAAATTACATTCAATTCTTCGCCTGAAAGAGAGGCCTCAGCGTCAGCAGCGTAGGGTAAATCATTCATCGTTAAGAAAATTATGGAAAATGTGATTGAAATTCCGGTATATGATAAATTCGATTACGTAATATTCGTGTAACACAAAAAATTATAAATGATCTGATTTTTTGTCCCCCCCCCCCAAAACTCAAAATGTCGTTTAGGAATTTTCCATTTACTCTCTCCTCTTTGTTTATTAGGAAATATGAACAAAATGTGTTTCCTACGAAAATTCGACCCTTAATCCAGACTCGATTTGCTAAAGTAACCTCTGGTTAGTTTGATGCAAATCGTTTTATAATAAATATTTATATTTATTTATTTATTTATATTTATTTGTTCTTAAATTTAAGTTCGTCTACAGTTTACTTCAAAAGAAACAATTAATTCAAAATACATGGAAAGATATTATAATAAATTAAAGATTAAAGCTAAAAAGTAAAGAATTTCCTTTCTTTCGCGAATTGATATTTCTATTTAAATAAATTAATTCTCTCATATGTAAATGAAGGGAGGGGTTTACTTCGGTGGAGGAAATGAAAGCTGAAAAATTAAAATCAGTTCAAAAGGATTTATCCAATGAATCGATATTTACACGAAAAAAAATTTCATCGAACGACAATAAAACAAATGTTTCGCAGAAAATAAATAATGCAGAAGTTTCAATGAGCTTACCACCGCATATCAAAGTAAGATTAGTACGTTATGACAATTACAATATAAATTCTTTTTTGATGACGTATCGTAATCTATTTTTAGCCCCTTGATAAGATATTAAATATGGATAAAATAAAAGATCAGGACTCGGAAATGATTGAAAAATTATGGATAGAATATCATTCTAAAAAAATTTGTTTATCAGCCGTTATTCCTGCCGATATTTATCGAACCTTGTTTAAACGTGGACAACAATATCCATTGGTAACTTTTTTATTATTGATTCGTGAAATTTACGAATAATACTTTTTTTTAACCAATTCCTCCTTATTTAGTTTGTTGTTCCTTTACCTCAAGAACAAGGTTTTGAATTTTATGTTCTTCAATTTCAATTTCATCAATGTTTCTTTACTTCTTTATTAGAATACAAGACTCATGGAACTGAATCAAAATATCATATGGTGTTAACTCATTTTCCTGACCTTATTGATTCTAAAGGGATTGTTTTAATGTATGGTGAAATCGTTGAACCCAATTTACTTTCTTTAAAAACTGCTCAATACCTTACTTATGCCATGCAAAGATTTTATGTTAGTGGTACAAAAGATGAATTAGATTTAGTTGAAAAATTCCACAAGTATCCTGATAAATTTGAATATAACGATTTAATAAAAATTTTATAAATTTTATTACGATTATTTTGCAGTATGACTTTTTTTTTAAATATTTAATATTTACATTACGCCCTGACTATAATTTGAAGTATGAATTTTGCAAAAAATGAATGCGCATCCTTATGATTTTTGTTCAAAAAAGGCCAAGTTTTGTTTCGGAATTTCTGCAATAGATGAAATGATTCAAGATGAATATTTGATAAAATAATCGATTAATAAAATAATATGATTAACTACTTTCCTTCAGAAATCTGAAAAATAACTTTAATAATAATGTGATAGAATTTTTGGAAATTTGAGGACAAAGAAATAGTGTGGCGCAGGGACTAGGTACCAAACATGCTTAACAATATGTACGTAAATTTTTTTGGCAAATATCGTGACAATTTGTCATACATCTAGACAGACGTATGAATGGAAATTGACGTTAATAAAAATTTGGTTAAGCGTAAAGGCAAGAATGGGAATGTTTAAGCCAGCGATAAACCAGTGATTATGTTTGGTTGAAGGTTTCGTATGCTATATAAATCAATTGTCGCATATCACTTACACGTCTTTTTTTATAAACGAATTCAAATATATACGTGCTACTTTAGCTTTTTTTTTCCTTGTTTGCTCAGTTTGAGCGCAATTATGTAAGTCTCACAACATAAACATATCCAATACTGAAGAAAATATTGCTTGACCAATATACAAACGGAAACAGCTTCCAACCTATATTCTAATGAAGAGCAAAAGTTAAATTAAACTAAACATACATTCTAAACCTTCAAGTAAAATTCAAAATGGTTTTTTAAGTTTTCCGGATAAATATCTGATTACATAAAAATTTACCAGAATGGTTTTAACATTAAACGGAAAAATATCCGATTTCAAAATAATTTACTAAATTTTTTATTAAATTTAAAGAAAATTAAATCCTCGTAAATTCCAAATTTCTAAAGCATAAACATGCTCACCTATTCTAGTGATAATGGAGTTTTTCGTAATGTGAGACGGTATCAGAAAGGTGGTTAAGATGCTTTGAATAAATACGTGAAAAATTGGCGTTAGCATGTTAGTCATTTTATAAATGATAAAAAAATCTCCTTTTATTCTGCACATTCAAGAAATTATTATGAATTTTGCAAAAAATGAATTACCTATAATACTTACTTAATAATGAAGCAAACAGACATGCAGGATGTTATTAAAAACTGTGATGAGACAATAGCTTTGTTGGAAAAGCAACTTTTTGACAATGATAGGACCCAGAAATATATACACTATCCTGAAGAAAGTATCCGGGCACAGTTTTTTGTGAATTGTTCTTAAGTTTATATGATATAAAAATAGATGTTTATATAATTATATAGTTTCTGTGCATAAATTGGATATATTTTATTTTCGTTTGAAACTATTTTGCGTATCAGGTATTTATAAATAAATAAACTGGTCTCAATTAAAATTAACAGTAAATTTCACATTTTTTTAAATTATTTTGACATGCAATGATTCAATTTTAATCAAACACACCTTGATAGAAAGTTCTCAGTGAGTATGATAGTTTTAATTTTATATTTTCATAGCATTTATATATTCTAATGTTAATCAAAGCCAAAGATTGTATTTGACTGTTTTATAAAAAAAATTCTTAATGCATTTATAAAGAATAAGTTCTAGTTAGGATAGAAAAAACTATTAATCAAAATTGTTAGTTCAAAAGTTATTAAATTTAAAAATAATAATAAATTTTTTGATACCCGAACAAATTTTTCAGGTAGTGTATATAAAGATCAGGTATCATCAAATTTTAATGTATGCATGAGTTTTCTATAAGATCGTACGCATTATTAGCACCTGCCACTAAAAATTCTGTAATAATACGCAAATTAAGTTTCTGATCTTAAAGTAACTTTTTAAATAAAATATTTAATATCAAGTTCAATAAAATACATGATTATAATATTTAAAATAATAATAAAAAATCTAATTACTGATGTAGATTAGTAAATGATATTACCCAGTCTTTTATAATAAATTTTATTCTCTTTTATATTTATTTTATTTGTTGTTTACATTAATTAGTGCATGCTTTGAGAAGTATTACCTTAAATATATAGAATAAAAATAGAATTTTAGTTTAAAAATAATTTGAAATACAGAAATTTATTTGAAAACTGGTATTAGAAATTTTTTTGAAATTTGAAATTTTAAAATTTTTTGAAATAATTATAGAATTTTTATATTAATGTCAATATATACTACCTTACACTTCTTTAAGTATTAAATTACTAAAATAAACTTATTTGAAATAAGTAAAGCATCTTATATTAGCAATTCTTATTAGCTCATTTTTTAAGAAATTAAACAATTTGGTTAAAATATAAAGTTCTGATTTGTTATAATGAATTTTGAATGTTGTAATAGGAAGATATTGATTCAAAAGATCACATGATATATGTGACCAGAAGTAACATTGACCACGCTATGTTAGACAGTAAAGATGAGAGAAATGAATTAAATAAAGATTATGTAAAAGATCCAGAAGTCGCAGAAAATTCTGTTATATTATTAATCATTTTGCATTATTAATCATTTATTATTTGTAATCAATTAGTATTTTATTTATTTATATTAGTAAATTTAGTATAAATAGGATAGCTTTAAGACTTAATTAAGGCGAATAACAGTAGATAATAATTTCAAAAACAATTAAAATTCAATTAGTTTTATCACTAATATGATAAATACTAATAACAGTTATATGCTAATAAATATAATTGTACTGAATTCTTTATTCTTTAATAAAATCCTTAAAGTTTATTCTAAATATACATTATCATTTGAAATAATAATTATTTATTCGCCCTTCAGAGCTCTTCCTAAAGTATTAATTAAAGCTGAATCCCTTTGTTAATCTTGCGTTAATACTAATTTTTCAGTCATTAGTATTGTAAGATAATAATGTGGATATCTTAATATTAACTAGACCAAATTCTTATCAAACTTTAATAAGCAGATTCAATAGGTTTTTAACTTTTAAATAAATTTAAATTCGTTAAAATCCAATTATTAAATCTAAAAAAATTTGTAAAAAATAGAAAACAATTATTTTGAGATTCATTATAAAAGAAACCTTAATCTAATGTAAATATTAGAACTGAAGCAAAAGAAACTGTTCAAAAAGTAATAATACTAATTTCTAATTTCACTATCTGAAAATCTAAAGAAAATGTGAAGTTGTAAATAATTAATATACTTTTATCTTTCTCAATAAATTTGTAATTATCAATTATAAGAAAAATATAATAGTAAAGTAACTAATTTTTATATAAGCAAAGCATAAAATACTTAAAAGTAAGCTATTATTACATATAAATAATTTTCTTCAAATATTTATAGTAAAATAGTAGTAAACATAATAAAAAATATATTAGAAAACTATTATAGAAATTATAATAATTATAACAAAAATTTATATATAAAATTTACATTATAGATATTTTATATTCTGTAATTATAAAATTAAAATTAAGGTAAACAGTAAAAAATATGTTAAATTATTTTTAGTTAAAGATACTTATTTTTAAATTTTATAATATAAATATTATAAATTGATATAATGCTATTTAGTGAGATTAATTTAAAATAAGAATAATAATTTTAAATAATTTATAAAGTCATTAAATGTCAACAAATAATGTATCTCAATTTGAACAATTATTTCTTAAAATAATAATATCAAATAGTTTTTTTTTCTTTGTAAATAATAAAAAATTAAAGTATTATTTGAATTTTTTATATCTTGATTTATCTTTTTTAATTGTAAAATAATTAATAATAGTTTACTAAAAAATATAAATAAATTTCTTCAACAAAATATTATAAAAATAATAAAGATAAAGTTACAGTAATTTTAATAGGTAGACAAATGTAAAATAAAATAATTATAGGTATAATATTAATTATTAAAAGGTCAATTTTTAGTTTAAAATGTATATAAAATAGTATTTTTATTATTATAAAATATTTGTATTTTATTATTAACATTTATATTTTATTTAATAAATAAATAATTTTAATTTATATAATTTTATATAATTAATTTATTATAATACTAATCATATTTTAATTTTAATTTATTAATATTTAATTTAAAGTTAATTATAAAATTATACAATTTATCATACTGTTCTAAAAATAAGCATTCTATAATATACTTCTTTATAATAATTTTTTTTATCTTATTATACAAATTTTATTATATTATTTGTTACCTTTATAATAATAAATATTTATTTATCAGAAAATGCTTATTTTTAAAATAGTATGATAAATTTATTTATTATTAAATAAGATATAAATATCATAATAAAATACAAATATTTTATTTTCTTTATAAGTTTATTTGGATAATACTAAATTATATTATTTTATAGTTTTTGATATGGGTCAGTGCAAAAAGATTCATACATCAGATATTGCATCGATAAAAAAAACTTTATTATGTAATTTTTTTTTTAATTCAAATATTATCAGTACATATTGGGAAAGATACAATATAA